GATCCCAGACATATCGTCAAACACTTTGCAAAGACAAAATAGTTTTTTTCCTAAATTCTTCTGCTTGTCAGATATCCAGCTGTAATGATGTCATAATTGTCAGGAGGCATCTGTAGCAAAAGATTATATTTCAGAAACAACATTTTTAACACAAACTAACTGCATTACATAAGGAAATGTAAAATCAAAATCAGTGTGTAAATACTACCCTTCTCCCTGTCTCTTCTATGAAGTAAATATTTCTTAATTTTTCTCCCATACTATTATAGGAGCTTAAATGCCAAGAGGGCTCAAAATTCAAACGTATTTTTCTTTGTGCTGCTCTTCAGGTGATTCCTTGCTGACCCATGTCCTCTCTCCAGGCTGTGGGCACCTATCACTGACACTATCATCAAACTGGAAGGAGTGGGAAGGAGTGAGGTTTCCATCCCCCAGAAACTCTTGTTTATAGATTTAGTGGTTTGCTTTATACTATAGATCCACTGACATTTTTCAAAGAATACAAGATACTTGGTTTATTTCAAAACTGCTGTACTGTTTTGCTGATAGCTGCCAAAAAGCAACAGGTGCATAAGCAGTCATTAATGTTGTTAAAGGATGTTGTTAATTATTTATGCATTGACAAAAAAATATTTTAACCAAACATTTCATGGCTCATTTTTTTCACACTTTTATCAAAGTTCCTTCTTATTCATGTCAAAAGTTGGCAGCACTCAGCTCTGCAAATCTTTGACAGGGAAGGGTATTTTTCTATATTCTCATGACCCATGAGCACCACTTAGCATCATTTTAAATTCCATTAGTTAATTGAATATTATTTGTAAAATATTTTCTTTCCAATGGTTTCAATATTGACAGAAAGAACTAGCTCAACACCACAGTGGGCTGCAACAGAAGAGCTACAGCTCAGGCCAAATAGATTGCTTCCCTTCTGTCCACCTCCTTTTTTTTTTTTTTTTTGGATACTTTATTGTCAATAATTCCTTTTTGGAGAAGAGGTCCTAAGCTCAGACGAATCCTGGCTTAAAACTGAATAAAAAAGAGGATATCAAATGGAGCTAATAATGACACTTCTGTGTTGTGGACATCTGCCTACAAAGAATTCTTCATCATGTCACTGAACATAGCCTGCTAAGGAATTAACAGCTCTTAGTAATTTCCTGTTGGTGTGAATTTACACCAGCTGTAAACCAGTTGCCTAAAGATGTACAGTTTTATCTCTCAGTACATAGAAGGGTATTTTTGTGTGTGAGATTCAGAAGATCTAAGCTGAACTCATCTCTTTGACACATATATAATTTGTAAATGGAGGCACAGCTTTCTGTGATTTGTAAAATGGGGAGGATGTTACCATTATTTTTTTATTATTGTTGTTGTTGTTGTTGTTTTGTTTTGTTTTGTTTTCTATCTTCCATGCATTGTGTCTGCTCACTTTATGAGCTCCTAACCAGACAGGTTGGTGATTTCTAAGGAGTTCCACCATAGTCTGTACACTTTAATAAGACGAGCAAATAGTAGGGCTGCTAAAAATAGAATTAATCAGATACTCATGTATGACTAGAGTGTTTTGCTGTCTTTAGACTTTCCAGTGATTAGTGGTTGCCTTCTTTCCTGAGTAATTGGATTGACTTAAAGTAGACTATCCATGAAATAATTATACAACAGCCTGCTAAAGAAAAAAATTTAAAAAAAAATGTAGTAAATAAATGAATAATAAATAAATAAATAATAAGTAATAAATAATAACAACAATAACAGTAGTCTTCAGCTGCCACTGGCAACTATATCATTATCAAACTGACCCCAAAATGTGTACAAGTGTTCTATATATATTTATATGTATTATGTATAAATATACAGTTATCAGTTTACATATAAAATATAGTTGTATCATCGTGGAGTTGCTTACAATATTTGACATTAAAGTATTATGAAAGATTCTGTTACAGAAATCTTCGTATATACAATTAAAAAACTGATTCCAGATACCTTTGCATAGAATGTTCTTGTTCTTTCATTGCTGTTGTTTCTGCACTAGTGTTGCTTAATGGCAAGAATATCAGTTGTTTGCTATGCTTGGTTATTATGAATGACACTACTAATTATACTAATACCATATACAGTATAAAGAGAAATATTTGTGTCATCACCTGTCACGTTTGATACTCATAGTCATAAATGAAAACCTAGGAAAGAAATGGGAATACTTCATTGATTCCACAGGTGTGTCTGGCTATTCAGAAATAATTATGTGACTTGTTAAATTATGGTACTGTCTGCTCTCATTTTCCCTTTTGATTTCAGACCAGATAGTAATAGTTAAAGGGTAAATCTGCCAGTGCTCTTTCCTTCACGTTATGTTTCAGGGTGCATGTACATTGTAACAATTTGTGTGATGAAATGCAGCTTTCTACTATATGCTGGCATATCACAATGCAAGACGGTAAAGTGTCATAACTAATTCATTGCAATGTGAATGCCACCCATGAAACAGAATGCTTCAGAAAAACAACATGTCAGTTCTCAAATAAACTCTGACTTTGGTAGGTATTGCAGCCAGCAAACTGTGTAAAATGCTTTAAAGTTATCCAGAGATTGCTCAGCTTTTCTGTCAATATAAAACTAAAGGGCTAATTTTAGCTTCATACTGGGAAGAATGCAGTTAACCTTACAATACCACAGCACTACATTAACAAGATTTTATTTTAGCAACTACAGTAAATGCTGACTTTTAACTTTTATAAGGTTATTTATTAAGACATGCAGTTACCTTCCAGTACACACTGTATCTATGTGGCTGTGGATGGATTGCAGAGGTCCTAGTTTTTAATAAGTTCTTGTGCAAATCAAGTCACTGAAATAGTCATAATTAATTCTATTTAGTAAACATAAGATACATATGCAACGCTATGCCAGCCTTTCAGCACAGCTGCAACAAGCAGGCAAGTTTGCACTATTATTGGCTACTGTGATTCTGAATTGGTGATTACAGCAGTTAGTAGAAATATAGGGTAACACACTTATCATAGAATCATGTAACACCTTGGTTTGAAAGGGACATTGAAGATCATCTAGTTCCAATCCTCTGCCATAGGCAGGGATGTTACCCAGTAAATCAGGTTGGCCAGGGCCTTATCCAACCTGGTCTTGAACACATCCAGAGATGGGTCATCTCCAACTTCTCTGGGCAGCCTGTTCCAGTGCCTCACCACCCTCTGAGTGAAGAACTTCCTCCTAACACATAATCTAAATCTCCTCTCTTTAATTTAAAGGCATTCGCCTTTGTCCTGACATTGTCTGTCAAAGCAAAAAGACACTCTCCATCTTTTTTATAAGCCCCCTTTAAGTATTGAAAAGCTGCAATAAGGTAACACTAGAATCTTTAACTCTTCTGGCTGAACTGCCTCAACTCTCTCAGCCTGTCTTCATGGGAGAGGTGCTACAAACCTCTGAACAACTTCATGTCTCTTCTCTGGAAAGAAGAATGTCCTCTGGAAGGACTTGTTCTAACAGAACCACATCTTTCTTGCAGTGGGGGCCCCAGACCTGTGTATAGCCCCATTACAAGTGGGGCCTCACAAGGACAGAGCAGAGGGGGACAATCCCCTCTCTTGACATGCTGGCCACTCCTCTGTTGATGCAATCATGGGTGCAGTTCACCTGCAAGTGCACACTGCTGGCTCTTGTTGAGCTTTCTGTCTACTGGAAGCCCAAAGTCCTTCTCCGCAGGGCTGCTCTCAACGAGTTCTTCTCCCAGTCTGGACTCATGTCTGGGATTGCCCTGGCCCAGGTGCAGCACCTTGCACTTGGACTTGTTGAACTTTATTAGGTTCATGTGGGCCTACTTCTCAATCTTGTTATAAGCCAACAGTAACACTGTTCTTTTCTCCATTAATGGTTTGACTGAAGAAAACCAGTCTGTCTTCACTTGTCTAATCTGCTCATCTTACTACTGGGTTGATAAAGACACCAGCACATTGTCTTACATTGTTCTTTTAAATATTTTATACAGTGTTAAGCTCTTGTGTGTGAGAGAGTAGTTTGGCTGAGTTAAAAATGTGTCGACCTCTAAACCAAACCTATCTTTTAAATTGTTTAGTATGAAGACACCAGAATTTGTTTACTTGGAAGGATAGTCTCAAGACACAATAAGAGAATCCAGGTATATTTTATCCTAAAGTACTACAACACTGTATATATATAAAATTCAGAAAAATAAATAAATAAACAAATAAACAAATAACTGTCTTCTGAGCAAACTATAAGTTCTCATATGGTAATTCAGCTGGCCATTGGATTGTATTGGGCTAATTCTTGGTATTAGTTTGAAAATATTGAAGGAAAATTTGAGTAAAACTTTACTACACCAGAAGATGTAGACATATTGTTTAATAGAAGAAGAGTCTTCCCAGCCTCTTTAAAACAAAAAACATATGTGTGCTTACAGGTCTAAGCTAATGTTCAGCATCAAAGTGTCAGCAAACTGTTGCCAAGATACATCAGATGCCATTCTGGTCACGGTTCTGGGACACATGGGACTCACCTTACCACTGACATAAGAACAGAAGCACTGTTGGGATGATATTGACATTCTCTGTTTCTCTGTGGATGCCATCAGCTGAATACAAATGGAAGACAATCTCTGGCGATATCAGAAACAACCACAGTATCATGCTACCAAATATCAGATGCTGAAATCCAACTCACATTGTATGAAATAATAGTCCAAAATTGATTTTATCAGGCATGTCTGAAGTGGTCTGATGCTTACCTGTAGTGCAACTGAAGGACACAGGCTGCTTACTTCTTGTGCTTAGAGGTATTCTGATTTAAGAAGGTAACGACTAGCTCAATGTGCTCCAGTGTGATTGATTATTTTTTTTTAATTTATTTTTGTCATGTAGTTACTGTGAATGTATTGCTGATCTTGTTGATCAGCCAAAAAGAATGTTTTTCTCATATCCTTCAACAATCTAATAATAAGAAACGACTATAGGTTAAACAAAATAAAGAAACAGAAGAATAACACATTTATTCCTGGAAGAACAGACAAACATTTCATTTCATTCATTAATTCATTTTTATGTTCTAAAGATCCGGAAGAAAGGATCATCCCTGTCCTTATTCCCAAATGCTGTTTGGACATGAATTTTTCATATTTTCACTTCTTATACAGTTGTATGAGCAATCTAAGAGAGTTAATTTTATACAATCATTCATTTCTCAGAAACACTTTGTGTTGTCTTTAAAAAAAATTATGATAATAAGATTTCTTATAAGATTTCTCAGTATTCTCCTCTGTCATGATCTAGGAGTTGGACTTGATGAACCGTGAGTGTCCCCTCCAACTTGGGATATTCTATGATTCAAAGAAAAAATAAAATACATAACGATATACATTTAAACTCATCATAACATACAGCTATCCCCTCTCTTTCCCCTCTGCTATATTAACTTTACCATGGATTTTTATTAATTAATTAATTTATTTTTTGTGAGCATCACAATTATTGCATATGTGAACATTGCATGTACGAGTAATTTGTTGTTGTTGATGGTGTTGTTGTTAGCACATTGTTTTCACTCACAGGAAAACAAAAACCACAATAAAAACAAAAGAAAAACAATAACAAGACACCACACTTTGGACTAATGCAGAAAAAAATAAATCATAGATAGATAGATAGATAGATAGATAAATAGATAGATATGAAAGATAGGTAGATGATAGATTTACATAAGGCTTTCTTAACTGACTATTCCCTGAATGAGACTTTAAGAGACTTTCTGCACAGATAGCTGCAAACAGACGTGAACTGGTCCTCCATCAAGCCACAGTTGATGGAGTAGTGCAAATCAAAATGCTGAACAGTCATATTGCTGTCTTACTGAATTCTCATTTTCTTTGAGGGTTCTTCTAGGTGTTCCATAGAAAGATACCAATGCTATATAGAACTTTGTCTCTCTGACTTTCTTGGTGTTCTGGACACCTACCTGGGCAGCCTGCTCTGAGGAACCTGCTTTGGCAGGGGGGTTGGACCCGATGATCTTTCAAGGTCCCTTCCAACCTCTACAGTTCTGTGATTCTGTGATTATCATTGGCAATTGCAGAGCCTGCCTCAGTGACTTGAGATCATCACCAAGCCTCACACTAAAACCCGAGAAAATCACAGAATCAACAAGTTGTAGGGGTTGGAGACCATCGGGTCTTACCACCCTGCCAAAGCAGGTTCCCTAGAGCAGGTTGCATTAAGTAGGCATCCCAATAGGTCCTGAATATCTCCAGAGGAGACTGCACAATATCCTTAGGCAGCCTGTTGCAGTGCTCCGTCACCCTCACAATGAAGAAGTTCTTTCGCATACTGGTTTCATTGGTTCAACTTCCTGTGATCCATTTTACGGACATTGCCCCTTGTCCTCTCCCCACAGACCACTGAAAAGAGGTTGGCCAAATCCCTCGGTCTCCCGCACTTAAGATACTTTAATCTTATATTAGATTACGTTATCTTAATGTTAAACTTATTTAACATTAATAAGATCCCCTCACAGTCTTCTTTTCTCAAGGCTGAACAGACACAGGTCTCTCAGCCTTTCTTCATAGGGAAGATGTCGCAGGCCCTGTACCATCTTTGTGGCCCTCTTCTGGACTCTTTCCATGAGATCCCTGTCTTTTTTGTACCGGGGAGCCCAGAAATGGACACAGTACTCCAGGTAAGGCCTGACCAGGGCAGAGTAGAGGAAGAAGATCACCTCCCTTGACCTGCTGGCCACACTCCTTTTAATGCACCCCAGCATCCCATTGGCCTTCTTGGCCACCAGGGCACACTCTTGGCTCATGGCCAACCTGTTGTCCACCAGGATCCCCAGGTCCTTCTCCTCAGAGCACCTCTCCAGCAGGTCATCCCCCAGCCTGTACTGATACATGCAGTTATTTATTCCCAGGTTTAGGACTCTACACTTCCTCTTGTTAAACCTCATCTGGTTACTTCCTGCCCAGCTCTCCAGCATGTTCAGGTCTCACTGAATGGTAACACAACGTTCTAGCATGTTGGCCACTCGTCCCAGCTTTGTATCATCATTTTAGTTGCTGAGGGTGGACACTATTCCCTCATCAAAGTTGTCAGTGAAGATGTTGAACAGAACTGGACCAAGCACTGACCCCTGGGGAGTACCACTAGTCACAGGTCTCCAGCTGGACTCTGTGCCACCGATCACCACCCTCTGAGCTTGGCCAGTCAGCCAGTTCTCAACCCACCTTGCTTTCCACTCGTCTATCCTACACTTTCTCAGCTTTGCTAACAGGATATCATGGGAGACAGTATCAAAAGCCTTACTAAAATCAAGGTTTGACTTTATGTCAGTGACATGCACTGCTCTCCCTCATCAACCCATCTGGAAATTCCATCATGGAAAGCAATGAGGTTGGTTGAGCACAATTTCCTCTTAGTGAATCCATGCTGACTACTCTTCATAAACTTCTTTCAAATTGCATGGAACAAGCTGTTCTATCCAATTTTGTGTTGTTTTGTTTTCTGCTGCTTAATCTTTTCTGCTCTGGTCTCAAGTCACTTTTCCCCCACCTCCACCCCCCCCCTCCCCCCAAAAACAAACAAACAAACAAAAACAAAACCTCACAACATTTATTTTAAAAATTGAGATAAACTTACCACTTTCTTTGTAATGCTTCATTAACCAAGTTGATCCAAACAGTAAGGTCTGGGCCTTTCTTAGTGCTTCTGAAAAGATTAAGGTGTGTTTAATATATAGTATTTAGTAGGACACAACTATAATAGGACAGTGTTTTAATGTCCTACTAAAAGCAGAACATTATTTTGCAATATCAATATTACAGTGTATTCTAAAAGCAAACTTAAAAATATGTTGAAAGGAGTAACAAGAGCAAGAAGAAAAGAAGAAGTAAGGAAAACAAGAGTAATAGTTAGCTGATAATACCATTTCACAGGTCGACTAATACACAGTTTAAGGACACTAAGCAAACAGTTCTCAGACTCTTCCCTGTTCCATTTAAAACAAAACAAAAACCAAACCAAGCCAAACCAAACAACAACAACAACAAAGGATTATTTATTTATTTAGTAAGCAACTGTTTATTAACAAGGAAAAAGTGAAACATCATTCCTAATTTTAAAAAAGTTAGAAAGGGGGATCATGGAAAAGATCCTCCTGTAAGCAATGTCATGGCACATGCAAGACAAAAAGATGATCTGGGACAGCCAAAATGGCTTCTCCAAGGGCAAACCATGCCTGACCTATGTGGTGTCATTCTACAATGAAGTGACTACATCAGTTGACAAGGGAAGACTAACCAATGTTATTTTACCTGGAATTCTGTAAAGTCTTTGACGTGGTTCCACATGACATGCTGGTCTCCAAATTGGAGAGATGGGTGGACCACTTGTTGAGTGGACCATTAATAAGAAATAAGGAATGGAATTGAAGTCCATACCCAGAGAATGGTGGTCAATGGTTCTATGTCCAGGTGGAGGCCAACGATGAGTCATGTCCCTCAGGGATCTGTTCTAGGACTAGTGCTGTTTAATATCTTTATTAATGATGCAGACAGTGGGATTCAGTGCACCCTCAACAAGTTTGCATATAACACTAGCTAAGTGGTGCAGTTGATATAACAGAAGGAAGGTCCATCCAAATGGGCCTGGGCAAGCTGGAGAAATGAACCTACGTGAACCTCAAAGGTTTAACAAGTCTAAGTGCAGATTGCTGCACTTGGGTTGCAGCAATACCAGGCTAGGAGAGGAACTCTGAGAGCAAACCTGCTGAATAGAACTTGGGGATTCTAGCGGAAAAATATCTTGATATGAGCCAGCAGAGTGTGCCTGCAACACTGGAGGCCAGCCATATCCTGGGCTGAATCAACACAGGCATGACCAACAAGTCAAGGGAGATGATTGTCTCTCTCTGCTCTGCTCTTGTGAGGCCCCACTACATCCAGGTCTGGGGCCCCTAGCACAAGAAGGATGTCAATCTGTTAGAATGGGTGCGGAGAGGGACCACAAAGATGATGAGAGGGCTGGAGCACCTCTCCTATTGAAGACTGTGGGTCACCGTAAACTAAATTAGATAAGGTGATCACAAGAATGTTACTGCTATCAAGACTTGCTGGCTAGTCTTAATTAAGACTAGTTATCAAGAATAACATCGTAGAGCCAGAAATAAGAATAATCAAAAAATGCAAATAACAACAGTCAGTTGTTATTTGCAAGATAACAACTTTATTTGATAACTTATTTGCAAGTTGTTATTTGCATAAGACAGTTAATATCTTTGTTAATATAGTTAATATCTTAGTTAATATAGTTAATAATCTAAGACTATAGTTTACTTTTTTATTACTGGCCTCACACCCTTGTCCTTTGTTCGCATACTTAGAAATCTGAGCAAAACTTTACTGTAGGACTTCACCTCTCCAAATTTTAGCTTGACTTTTCATTTTTCCTTCATAAGTTCACTCCCCTGCTCCTTTTTAATACTTGCTGTAGTAACATAGGTTCTGCACTGTTGCATCATAATGTAAGAATCATTTATATTTCTATGGTAGGAACAAAAAAAAGGAAAGGTCTCAATCTGAAATATGTTGAAATAAGAAATCAGCAATATTATGAGGTATTTACACTCAAAAGAGTTTATCTTAAATACAGGTTATAAATCAACAGGAGTTCATGATAACAGAGTTAAATAATGTGTATTAATAGGCTTATGGTTGAAGAAACCAAACAGACATAATGCAAGAAGAAAATCAGGGCTGGAAATTTTAAACAAAGAAATTAAATGATGTAACTGAATTCAGAAGAGAAGTTAAAAACAGAAATTAGTCTAACATTTAAAATGTGCTACTCATGAGCATTAAAAACAGATCTCACTACATACCTGAATCTGAATGAAGTTTCTACTCTTATTTTGTTTAAAGACCATTACAAGTTTTCACAAAGAATGTTGTTAATTTAAATTATCTGAGTGTGGGAAAACAAGCAAACAAACAAAAAAGTGATTTGGCTCCACATAATTTCATGGTAACTATATCTTCTGTAGTAATTTTAAGGTCTCCAGCTGGCTGTGATAGTGAAGGATTCTTTTTTTTTTTTTTTTTCAATTTTTATTAAAATTTTTTCTATTCTGATTTATTTTTACTTTTTCTTTCTTCCTTTTCCCATTCTTCATTTCCCTCTCCCTTCCCCCTCCCCCCACAACCCCCCTCAACCCCCTTTTCCTACTCTTAATAAGAGAGGTATCTCTAATTACTAACTGAAGTGTATCAGACTCATAGCTGTCACATTTAACTGGATTTAAATTAGTGAGACTGCACTGGGTTTGTTTGTGGTAGAGTTGAAAGTCTTGTGGTGTTGTGTTTTAGATTTGTGACCAAAACAGTGTCTATGTCAAGCTAATATTTTATCTATTGCTGAACAGTATCAAAGCAATGTCTGTTTCTCGTTCTACTGCCTCAAGGAATAGGTTGGGTATCTGGTAATAGTCTGGGAGGGTGTACAGATGGGACAGCTGACCCAAATTGACCAAAGGGATATTGCATGTTGTATGACATCGTGCTTAACTTTAAAATTGCAGATGAGTTTTTTTGTTTGTTTGTTTGCTGTTCCGCAAGGTATCTGTTATTAAACCATTTGTATGTTGACCTTCAAGTTTTCTCACTTTATCCTTCTGATTCTCTCTCACAACCTGCTGTAAGGGAGTGAGCAAGTGACTGGGTGGGGGTCTACCTGATATCTAGGTTAAAACCATCACCACTTTTACTACTTTTTATGAAACAAGAAAGTAAACCTAAAAATATATATTTATTTTATTTTACCTATCTATCTATCTATCTATCTATCTATCTATCTATCTATCTATCTATCTATCTATCTATCTACCTATCTACCTATCTATTTATTTTTCCAGACACCATGTCCTGTTATTTGTCATTGTGGGTTTTATACTTAGGGTACATTATCTCCATCTGCTGATGTAATTTGTTTGGCTGTTTACTTGGATAATGTTCTTGCTGCTGACTTCTACAAATCTTTCAGCCTCCCATGTGGTTTTCTTTGGTTAATAATACCCTGTAAGTACTTAGAGTGGCATTTTGATTTGTTGCAAAATGGAAGATTAAATAGCGCTTCTCCTCCCTCCATACAGCAGGTCACCCTTGAACAATTTAAATGTTCCACATTAACCTGTAATATAACATTTTTAATATGACAATTAAAAATAAATTTTCAAAGTAAACTCTCTTTTCACAAAGAACTTTGAGAACACAAATATGAATGTTGAGAATTCTCAACAAGGTTGAGAATTTTCAAATACACTGCAAATCCAAACATTAAATCTTAGCATCTGCAATTTTAAATAAATAAATAAATAATAATGATAATAATAATAAAACGACCTGTGGAGGTCATCTTATACAACATCCCCCTGCTTAAACAAAAGCCACTTCTCCAGGAGAATGTCCAGATTACTTCTGAATATATGCAAAGATAGAGAATCCACAAGCTCTTTGAATAACCTGCGCCAGCGCTTGGTCATTCTCATAGTAAAAAAAAAAAAACACAACAAACAACAAGGCAGGTACACCACTACTTAATGACCTGAGCAAGTCCACTGACTTGCTGACTTCTGACTGCTGACTTATTGACCATGTAATAATTAAAATTAATATGTAATTTAAATAAAAATAAACATGTAAACAAACAAACAAACAAAAAAGCACTAATTCTTTGTATTTATTTAAAAATATTATCTGTAATATTTATTTAACCTTTATTTTTAGTAATGTTATTGAACATTGTTGTAGTTTTTATTTTTTCTTTTCCTATTCTGATTTCACTACCTTTTCCTAGAAATATACCTAAGAAGTAAGAATTGCAAACCTCTTTCTTTACCACAGATTTCTATGTGCAATAGTGACATTTATGTTTTCAGTAGAAGTATGCAAATTTTCAAAACTCTTATTTTAGAAATTTGCACCACGGTATTGTTATAAATGACATCTCAATTCAATCTGAATATTGTAATATTTATAAAACAGATATTTCTAAAATTTATAAAAGCTATAAAAGGTATAAAAGGCAAGTAAACAGCGCTGGGTGTGTGGGGAGTCTACGCTCCACCAACATGCACACACACACACCAAACATTCTAAATACATGTATACAGAACATTGCTTTACATAATAACCCGAGTATGACTATACATACATACAAGCAGGATAGGTAACCAAGTAAACAATCCTTTAAGTTCCATAACTTAACAGTCTCCATTTTCCATTCCTTTTGAGCAATGTCTTGCTTTAAGTGGTCAATAGGCCAATAGGCCTGGGTCAAAAGGCACATACAGGTCACCAGGGGGCGTAACAGCAAAAGCCTTCGATGGCTGTAGCAGCAGAGGGGTGCATGGTGATGGCGTAGCAGTCGCATCAGTAAAGGAGCCCACAGCTCCCTCACTATCTAGCAAACCACATGCTTCTGACTGTGGTCCCACATGTCTCTTTAAGGCCTCAGAGACTGCTCGCCAGGTGCCAAGCAATCCCACTGCAACCTTATCATTTTTAGTTGCAGAGTCCCACACCTTGACCTCAGTTTGGTCCCATATTTCAGGCTCATAAACTGTCTGATTGTTAATAAGGAGAATAAGCTGTAAGATTACCGGTTTGCAGAGTCTGGCCAAACCTATCTTCATGAGGCAATCAAAGTGCCTGCTCCCATCCTGGTCTCCATTCTGCCAGCCTGTTCCTCTTCACTTCTTTTTCCTGATTCTTTATTGATGTAACTTCATGGTGCTGCCTTTTTTTTTTTTTTTTTTAATTTTATTTTTATTTTATTTTATTTTATTTATTTTTTTTTATCGTGAGGGCAGGCTCCCCTCTTATACCCTTCTCTCCACAGCAGTTCTTTTCAAAACAACTTTTCATTGGTCAAACAACTTTGAATGTAACAACAGCAAACACCCAGAAACATCCATGTTGTAATGGCTGGAGAACAAGAGAACCATCTGGAGAACAAGAAACCGGAGACTGCATGGAGTCTCCTGAATTACCCTTCTTTGTTCCCTCTAAACTCTTTTATATTCCTGATGGCCTCATCATTAAGAGTCTAATGTTATCTCAACCATGGGGTTTTCCAACCCCCATGGCCACATTCCTAAATATTCCCCTTCTTTATTAATATCAACCATTTTCTTGACACGAATTACTACTCCATATATAACAGTATTTATTTCACTCACATACAGTACTAGTTTTCCCAGTGAAAATTAACATTTCACATTTCATTGTGCTTTTCCTCTGAAACAGTTCTGTCTTCAAGCAGCAATAATAGTATTAATAATAAATAAACAAATAAATAAATAATAAAAAAACTATTTCCATGAATAAATGAGATCATTCTTGAGTCTATAGTTTGCAAAGAAATTAAAAGCATCCTAGTTCTCATGGTTTTCTTCTTGATTTCCATATTTTTTCCTGTTTTTTTTTTTTTTTTTTTTTTTTTTTCCCCGTAGTTACAGATACAGTGTAACCATCTGCACTAAGATCACCATTGGATATTAATTCTATAACATAATCTCAAATAGTTGGGAAGCAACCTTGAAGTTTCATAATTCTCTGTCTCTTTTCCAACATTTAAAAATGTCATTTTCAGGAAAAAAAAAAAAAAAAAAATCTGTTTTATGTTCTATAGATAGGCTTATGGGAATTCACAAAGAAGTTCCACCAAAATTTTATAAAATCCCTTGCTTTGTGTTTCATTTATTATTGGTACTTATTATTTTCCTTTTTTTTTTTTTTTTTTTTTTTTTTTTTTAATGTAAATGAAAGGACTTGTTAAAGCTAGTAAATAAAGAAAAGAGGAATGAAGACAGAAGTTTATTGGATGCTGTTTCAACTACTTTTGATGGTGAGTCTATGCTTTATAATATGTAACAACAAAACATACTAAAGTAAGTATCTGGTCAAAAAAAATAAATAAATAAAAAGGAGGTTTGGTGGGAGATGAATATTTGTTCATTTCTTTCCTCATCATCATGTAGGATTTTATTTTTTTCTTTTTTTTTTTTCCGCACTTATTCTCCTGTAGTTTGATTTCAATATATATCATTTTCTAGAAAAGATTATCACTGTCTGTAAGCTAGTGTTATATATGGAGTGGTAATTCATGTCCAGAAAATCGTTGATATTAATAAAGAAGGGGGAGATTTGGGAGTGTGGCCATGGGGGTTGGAAAACCCCATGGTTGAGATAACATTAGACTCTTAACGATGAGGCCATCAGGAATATAAAAGAGTTTAGAGGGAACAAAGAAGGGTAATTCAGGAGACTCCATGCAGTCTCCGGTTTCTTGTTCTCCAGATGGTTCTCTTGTTCTCCAGCCATTACAACATGGATGTTTCTGGGTGTTTGTTGTTGTTACATTCAAAGTTGTTTCACCAATGAAAAGTTGTTTTGAAAAGAACTGCTGTGGAGAGAAGGGTATAAGAGGGGAGCCTGCCCTCAAGATTAAAAAAAAAAAAAAAAAAAAAAAAAAAAAGAAGGCAACGCGATGTGATGATGAAGTTATGTCATCAATAAAGAAGCAGAAAGAAGGAATGAAAAGGAACAGGCTAGCAGAACAGAGACCAGGACAGGAACAGGCACTTTGATTGCCTCATGAAGATAAGTTCAGCCAAACTTGGCAAACTGCTCAGAGAAGCTCATGTAGAAAGTTGCTGGAAATAGGCAAACTGGAGCTGGAGAGAAGGTCGAGCTGAGAGAAGCGGACCTGAACACAACTTCCCCTCACTTTTAAGCAGCTGCACATTATGGGGAATCATACGTCCTTAGAAACAAAGACTGTCCTGGTAACTTTACAGCTTATTCCCTTTATTAACAATCAGACAGTTTATGACTCTGAAACATGGGACCAAATTGAGGTCAAGGTGTAGAACTCTGCAACTAAAAACGACGAGGTTGAGGTGGGATTGTTTGGCACCTGACGAGCAATCTCTTTAAGAGCCCTGTGGGACCACAGTCAGAAGCATGTGATTTGCCAGACAGTAAGGGAGCTGTGGGCACATTTACTGATCTGCCTGCTACATCATTGACCCCTCTGCTGCTACAGCCATCGAAGGCCTTTGCTGTTATGCCCCCTGGATGTGACCTGGATGTGCCTTTTGACCCAGGAATCGTTGGTCTTGTAAAGGAGATGGATATGCTTTTCTTCGATCCGGGAAGAATGGGATACATAGGGCCTGAAGACCAAGTTGCTTGACAACTTAAAGCAAGATATATTGTTCAAAAGGAATGGAAAATGGAGACTTGTTTGTAATCAAGAAAAGGAATGGAAAATGGAGACTGTTTAGTAATGGAACTTAAGGGATTGTTTGTTACCTTTTTTAATTGTACATATGTATAGGCATACTCGAGTTTAGTAAGTCATGAAACTTAAAGGATTGTTTGTTACCTTTCCTGATTGTACATATATATAAGCATACTTGGGTTTAGTATGTAAAGCAGTGTTCTGTATATTTAGAATATTTGATGTTTGTGTGTGCATGTTGGTGGAGCATAGACTCATCGCACACCCAGCACTGTTTATTTGCCTTTTATACTTTTTATGAATATTCCTTTTACGAATATTACTAAATTCAGATTGAGTTGAGACTTCATTTATAACACATACCAATTGCAATTTTTTAACAGTTAAACCTGTTGTCAGGTGAATAGGGAACAGAACACACTGCATGGACTGAGACCAAAAATCTTTCAGTAGTTAAGCTGACACATCTGTTTGAAGTGTTCCAATAGATGAAATTTTTACGGTCTCAGAAAATGTTTTGTTTTGACTAAGTAATTTCACTGGTAGACTGACTCAAACGCTCACAAGGAGAATCGTGCATCACTCTGAAACTTTGTAGTAGAAGTGCAATTATTGCTGACCATAAAGATTGGGTTCAAACAATATCTAATAAGCATTTACCAAAGCTGTCAGACTTTTACTTGAAATCTTGCTGAGCAATGCTATATTATACCAAAACAAAGAAGTATCCCCTGTTAGTGATACAGAGGCAAGATTCTATTATTTTCTTTATTCCATTTCCATAGTGTGGGTCACACAGATACAGCAAAGTTGAAGCTAATGATCCTTGCCAATTACATCCATTCTTCTTTGGCACACTGAATCATATCTGTTGTAGACAGGTTGGTCTGATTTTTCAGGGTGATTCACACAACCCTATTATCTTCATCATTTCAACTATTTGTCTTTTATTTTACCCCTGGCATTTTTTTTAGAAGTAAATTTGAGTGCAGAAAAATATATACATTTTTAATAAATATAAATATATATAAAATATATAAATAAGACTTAATTTATAAATATATAAATTAATCGCATCTACAATTAATTATGGATGCAGAACAGCATCTAAGGAATTCAGATATGTAGTGAAAATATGATTTCTAGACTACATGCCTTTCTGAGAACACTTCACTGCAGCTAGACAGCTGGCAGCCACTGTTTATTGTACTAATTCATTGTTCGTTCATCTTTGTTTTGTGTCTTGTTGTATTTTTGCGACATCCACACATTCTCTTTCAGTTCTTATTTAGACTGAAGGCTCCTTTTTGGCAAGAGCATTTCATATAAATAATGATGCTCTGTGGGCTTCCAGGGAACTTGCATCTTTTCCTGTGGCCAATTTTTACCATTTGGGCTCATTGAGATTCCCCCAAGGTGATATAAGCCAAACAAGATTGTAAGCATGTATCCTCTTCCAGTTACAGCTATACCAACTCAAGAAACTTGCTCATGGTTCCTTATTACCAGTGCCTCAAACCAGCCAGCCATAAAGATTGGTTTGCAAGAACTGTATTTATTTCAGTTAAAATAAATAAATGAGTGAATAAAATCAGGCTATTACACCTATGTGAGGTGAAAAACAATTCTTAGACACATAGTCTCTTTTAAAGACAGTTAGAAAAACTCTGCAAGAGAGTTCAGGATAGACAAAGGAACAGCATCCTTCTTCCCTGCCATCCAGAGGGGAGGGCACCACAGAGGCTGGAGGTGTTGCCACAGGCTGGAGGTGCTGCCACAGGTGCAGCTAGAATTGCCTGTATTCACATGTGTCAATGGTTGCTGATTGTTATTATTATTATTTAAAGTGGGTCTTAAGACTGCCATCCTGTATGAAAAGTGTCATTGCAACATAGGGTATGAATAATGCTCAAGGATCAAAATATAAATATAAATATAAATTAACACAGATATATAACTACTTCTCATGCAAGCAATGGTAATGAGGACAGTTTAGTGATACTTAGAGCTGAGTAAGTGTCTTCACACTTACTAAATCCCTGACTAGACCCTTAAAGATTGAAAGAAATCGTCAGTGGTTAATACTGATGGAAATACTGAGAGTACATTTTCATATGACATATTTAATTTTTTATTTTTTATTGTGATTACATCTCTGCTGTTGATATTCCAACATTCCAGAGCAACTGTTTTTGAATATCTAGAAGGGAAAAACAATTTACATTCTGGGGTTAAAAAAAAATAAATCTGAAATTACATGAAATTTAAACATTTTGAATTATTTTTGCTTTGCTGAGACTAGACAGTGAAAATATATTTGAGAAATTTCAAAACATAACTGAGGGGACATTCTGCAATTCCTGACAATAAACATATGTAAGACACAGATGGGAAATCAACGCTTTTGTAAAACTAAAACTATTTTG